GGGGTTATCATCTGTCAGAATGATATTAAAATCTCTCAGGTTTTTTCACCTTTAAAGGTGAAAAACTGTTTCTTTATAAAGGAACAATTTCAAGACAATAAGAAAACTCTATGAGTCAAGGTAAAGAAATTCAGAATTGCATGTAATGCTAGACTTGCTTTCAAGCAGCATTGTCTTGCAACCTTTGGCTTACTATTAGTTTCTTTTGAATCTATGATTTTGCTTTGTACCAAAGATTGCCTCTTTCTGCCAGCTAAATAGACAGTATCTTCATAGTGTATTCATTGACCATCCAAAACCAAAGCTGGGATAACTATGCCTTTTTAGTGAGTGCTATTATAACTACCATTCCTAACCCCATCAGCGATCTTGCCTCTGAAGTGCACATGACATGACAATGAAAGCATTCAGCATCTGTTTTCAAAAGATGCTTTTTAGTGGGTTACAAAGCAGGCAGGACAAATGCTGACTGCTTTAAAGGTTTTTTTTTGTTGGTTCTGCATACCTCCCACCCTGTGATTGTTTCTTTTTGTTTCAGATTTCAAAATATTTCTTCTGATCCGAAAGGAAAAAGAATATATATATATTAAATAATATGCACATTGACATTCAGTATCCAATCAGCACACTGCTGAGTATACAAGACTCAGTTTCAAAACCTCTGTTCTAAGCTAAGCTGTTCCAGATGTGATAGAGCAAGTACTTCAACAGGGGCTTCCCATATTAGCAGGAAAGAGGCCTAACTCTTAAAATGTAATGTTAATATCTGCAATGTTTTCTTAGAAGTGGATTAAATAAACATATTTTGTTTCTACATAAAAGCCTGGTGTTTGGAAAGGTGGTGGACAAAACCCCCGCCAAACCATAGATATACCTACTCCACAGTTTTTTGTTTAATTTGCAGGAAAAAAAAACACCTGAGGAAACCAACAAAAAAACAAAGCCCAAACAAATACCCACTGTAAGAAAAAAAAGCCTCCCCAATAAACAACAACAAAAAAATAAACACCACCATCTCCAAATTGAAAACAAAGCCAACCAGAACTCTCAAAAAAAACCAAACAAAAAAAAAACCAAACAAAAACACCCCAACAAACAAAAAACAAGTAGGAAAAATGCTGTTAATTTTTCTTTTTGAGAGCATGTATCCCCCAACAAAAATGTGTAGACTGTATCTACAATTTGGTAGTCTTAAGGTGCATCATCCAGAACTTTGCAGGGATGATGTATGTTCAAAGCACTGAAAAAACTCATTGTCAGAGTGGTTCCTTTCAGTCTTACCACCACTGAGCATTAGAACTGATTAACTAACTTTAAAAGAGCTGGCACCAGTACTAAGAGACTCAATAAAGCTCAGATGTCAATCTTCTTTGAATCAAAATCTGTGTTTATAGTTGCAGATGGAGACAAACTAAAATAATGTACTACACGAACAGAATATCACTTCTATGTGTGAGACTTTCTAGAAACCAGGTGGATAGAAAGGAAAAGGTAATTTTTATTCTATTCAGAACAGAGACGTGATTTTTTTAATATATTTTTTATTTTATTTTAAGATTCAATAAAAGCAGATTTCAAAACATCCTGTGGAAAGTAGTTCTACTTGCTCTTGCCAAAGGAAATCTAGTACATGTTACAGCAAATAAACACCACTCTGAAGTTTAAAAGCTTTAGTTTTGGTCTGCAGCTCTGCTCTAGGGCCACATGGCAGGTTTTCTCCTCATCATCGTTCCAACTCAGAGTTCCCACAGCAGCTGAACAAGACTGATTTTCATACCAAGTGTGTCTTTCTTCCACCACTGTCAGAAAGCAAGCGATTCTAGATAACTTACAAGAACTTTCAAGATACAATAGTAGCTCTAACTAAAAGAAGGGAAAATAAATCCAGCAGAGACCCAGACAAGTCAGTTTAATGCTCCAAGGTATTTTAATCAGACACACTCAGGGTTCTTCACCAATAAAAGACTTCTGAATGTTATTCTTCTTTTTGTACCTAGGGATCCTGACTGAAATAGATCAAATAACTTGCAGAAGGACACTCAGAGCCTACGTAATGTCTGATCGGGCTTCTACCTTCTGACTGCTACTGCTGAGTCTTAACAACTCCCTCTTTCCTCTGCAAAACTGCAGGCTTCAGCAAACAAAGCATTCCTTATAGCTAATTGGTATTACATGGAAACTCAACTGCTCTTATTTACAAAACTACAGATTTATGTCAAGCAAAGCCAATTATGCTTAATGTTTAAACTATTGCAGGTGCTCAATGACATTGTTGCTAGGCAGTAGAAGTGAAATTGCTCTTTTAATGCATCTTGTTCCAACTGGGAGCATGTGTTTTATCATCAGTGCAAACTTAACAGATGGAGATCTTAATCCTCTCCAGCAAGCTTTCTTCACCCTCCCTCACTCAGAATGGTGTCCCATACATTTAGGCTTAACTGAGGTGCTCAATAAACTGTCTGGGACAGAGCTTGTATTTTTTGTATGTGCATACATAAATACAGTATAAAACACATGAATACAGTAGGAAATACACATTTAACCCTTAAACAACCCCCCCCAACCTGTACCAGCAGTAATCAGCAACACAGATGCCTGTTCAAAGTTATTAATGACCTCTGCTGAGCATAGCCTCTACTCAAGTAGCTATAACCAGAGCCAGTAGACAGCACCAAAGTCAAAACTGCATCAACAGAGTCCTTTATACTAATTTCACTGTGTTCTGGGACAAGATTCAGAAAATCTAGGCAGCACTCAATCAGCAAAACTGAACTGTGATGTTTGTGGTCACTCCTAACCTCACTTGAAGTTTGAAAAACTACAATTCCTTATGGTGAAGACTAAAACATGCGCTTATTTGGTGCAAAGCAACATCAAGGGTGAGCTCAAACACAGGCAATCAAATCCAAACGTTTTTTGTCTCCCATGAAAACTGCCACAGATCAATAAAAGGCTGCATAAAAGAAGGTTATTCTAAAATTCTCCAGCTGCTTATTGCATTATTTCATATGCACATACATCTTATTTTTTTCTGTCTCCTCATTTTGCTAATGTATTAAACCAGATGTGAAAAAACAGCTTCTTTCAAAGTTAAGACCAAACTGAAAGAGTCCTTTCAACTAATTTTACTGTGTTCTGGTAAAAAGAAAAAAAATCATTAAGTGTTAAAAGCATCTCCAGCCCAATTATACTCACTAGCTCAAATGTTAGATGTTACTATTTTATACATAGTAGTAGTTCTTTTGTGTGTAAACTCTCAAGTGCATTGACAGAGACCACATAACCTCTTGTCAGCAGACTCCAGCCAGGATCTTTCAGCTTTTCCATACCAACACAAAGGTCAAGCCAGGTATGCAGGACTTTCTCACTTTATGGAAAGAAACTAGAAGTTTCCACAGTTAAAGCTAGGTTTATTGCAATACAAATAGCATTTAGAGAATAATACCTTACAAGCAGATAACTGTCAGGTGGGATTGACAGATCTACTCAAATATGTGGAAATTAGTCTGCCTCCCACTCTCCGGTGCCCTTGGAGACTAGGTCCTTCAGCTTTTCGCTGCCTCTCCCTGTCACAGCCCCAGCGCAGCTTATGCAGTCATTTTTGGAGAAAGAGGCTGTCTCTTGCTGGCAGGGCAAGAACCAGGGCAAGGCAAGCAGACCGAAATCATCACTTGTTACAGGGTGAACACAGAGCTGTACGCTCAACTCTTCCATCAAGGCATCACATCCCACATTAGTCAGAAAGCGTATCTTTGACACAGACAACAGTTTCAGATGAACTTATATGAAGATCTATTTACTTCTTCCATCTCCACCAGTGCATCCTTGGATCATAATCTTTTTTACCACTGAGGAATATATTAAAGAAGATCCACAAAAAAAAATTTGCTTCCAGGTGGCTACCTCTGCTTTCTACAATACCTGTTGCCCTCAGGGCAACAGGTCCCTCAGCCACCTTGTAGCTCTTCTGCTGACCCTGGGTCTTCATCTTCACAAGTTATTTCTCATGGGACATATGTCAAATGCTTTACTGAAGTTAAGGCAGATCAACTATGTTTTGTTTAGAAAATGAGTTCTTATTACACAACAACATTAAGAGGGTCTGGCAAATCTACCTTTGATACATCTGTGTGGCATTTTATTCAATATTCCTTTTATCTCATGAATTTAAATATTCTTTTTAAATTAAAACCCCAAACAAAATACAAACAAAACAAAACCCCCAACATTAAATACTAGTGAAATCAAACTAACGGCTCCTGACTGCCTTCCTTTCTACTTCTTAGATGTATTTACTATGTTTTGCTTCCCTTCCTGCAACTCCCAACCCAAACACACAGCATTAAATATGGTTAATGGGGGAGAAATGATTTCCGGTACCAGCTCTTTCATAGTTTCAGCTCACAAACTACCCTGTGTCACTTCAGTGCATTATATTCCTTTAATGTATTTTCTCTTGTGATAGAGCATTGCTCATATCTAGCAAGCGTTCTGGCTTGACTGAGACTTCCAATATAAACATCTTGGTATCACGGTGCTCCTTTAGTTTTGGGGTTCAATATGTTTCTTCAGCACATAGAAACCCCACTTGTATCCTCACTCTTTTTATTAATACCACTTTAAAAAAAAAAGTTAAGTGTTAGATTAGTATAACTTGCAATATTTAAGTGAGCCAATTTGGGGAGTGTTTAACACTGCTTAGTTCTTTAAAGTGGAATGCGTTTTACTAATATTTTTCCCCCTTTTTCCAGCTGCATCTACTTTCCCTAGTCTTTTTTTCCTAATTGTCTTTACCCCCTTCAGGCGGGCTACAGTTAGTAAGTTTGATGTAAATAAATTCTAATATCCAGTTGTTCTATTCACAATTTTCTGCAAGTAATCTTTAGGAATGACACATCTCACTGCGCTTCTGCAAATAAAAGACTAGATACCCCAGCATAAATGTTTCATGACATACTTTATGGACTTAATACCAATATGTACTTTGTAACATATTTTTGGTAGATCTCAAAGCAGTTTTGCAAAGAAGGTTAGTACAGCTCCATCCATTTTACTGACAGGGAAACTAAAGTAAAGAAGCAACTTGCTGGAGGCTGTGTAGCGGATAAGTAGAAAAGACTAGAATATCACAAAAATCTTTTAAAATATCAACCAAGCAATACCAGACTCCAAAAATATTTTTAAGTTACACTGTCACAAAGTAATTTACTAAATTAATGTGTATCTGAGTTAATTCTGAAGCATTACTAAGTACAAATACATGTGGATACCTGTCTATTTCCCTAGAGATATTAAAAGCCTCTATCCATCAACCATGCCAAGCAGTGAGCTCTCTTTGCCCTCAATGTGCATTATAACTGTGCAAGCATTCTACAAAGCCAAATCCCACGATGACTGTTATTTTGTAAACTTAAAAATAACATTATTTTCCTAAGATAATTAATAAATACATTGCCAGTACCACTTTAAGTACGCTAGGTAATTTACCATTAGAAAGCTGCTTGAGAGCATAATCAAAATTTAGTCAAACAAGGGTGAAATTTTATAAGGTTTTCTCCATAGGAGGCAAAATGGGAGATCTTTCCAGGACACTACCATAATGCTTGATGCCTTTTCCACCCTTCAAAAGTTTTTCTTCAGGAAGACTTGCTCTGAATTCACTGGTGTATTTCTGATTCAGATTGTTGTATCTGAGGAGGAGGATAGAGAAAGAAAATACTAAAATAATGATCCTTTCTGGTATTAGTTGCACTTATTGTTTATTAGGTAATTTGAAAGTTACAGTGCCTTCTGAGTTCTGAACTTCTAAGCAGCCAAAGAATTGGGTAGTCATATATGTTTTCCTAGAACCTTTCAGAACCTCAGGATGAAATACGCCAAATGGGATGCAAGTATCAATAACAGCTGTGCTGTGTCATTTTAACAAATTTAAAAAAGAAACATGCTATTTTCCCCTCAGACAAATTCTAGTGTATTTTTTTTTCTAATTCAGAGTTTTAAAGCCTGATTTCCCCCACCACTAAATCAGTGTTTATCTGAATATCTCTCACCCTTTTTCTACCCTCTGGGAGAATTCTTATCCAGCAGAAAATTAAAGAATTACATTTGATCTGAAAAAATGTATTTCATGTAGGTTTTGATTGCCTTATTGAAAAGTGGCGTACACCTTGATTTTGAAGTGAGATAAAAAATTGAAATACAATTTTAGAAATCTTTTTTTTATGTCAAAGATTTCCTCAAAAACATGTTATTTTTTCAAAATTGTGTTGCACTCAATAAATTTTATAGCCACTTTTTGACAATCAAGACCTTTTAATTATCAGCAGTTAATGTCACAATTGAAAATTTCATTTTACAGAAGAATAAAATCCTATTTTACAAGAGGAAGACAAAGTACATACAGGGGAAACATCTCTAGTCATAACTCAGGTCATATGTAAAAGAAGAGAATCAAGAGCTAGCCACAGGAATAAATGGCCACTTGTGTCTTAGGTTGCACTGAAAGATTGACAAGACACTACGGTAATCTTTGCTGCTGCTGCAGTTAGTGCTATTGTAACAGAAAAAGCAGTATTTTTCTCAAGAGTTCTGGAAGTACACTGCCCTTGGAAATCTATTGTTGTCATTATCAAATCCCTACACTTCACCAAGGTTTCTGAAGGATTTCCTTCAGAAATCCCGATGTCTAAGAGAGAATGCCACTCATGCATGACCCTTTCCACTCATGGTGACACAGGTTGTTTCCCTCCCTGTTCTTGACTACGAGTATTACTCATGACCCTGACAATGGGAAATTAACTGTGATTAAACATTCCAGAATACAGGAGGCAGGCCAACTTTCAAACCACCCTGGATGTAAAAGCGGACTGCAGTTGTGAGTTCCTTGCATTTTATAGGCAATACCCAGGTATAAAACCTAGGCTCTGTAGGTGCCTAGGTGGCATAAAACTGATTCCTGTGTGTGGGCTAACAGAGCAATTCCATTGTCTCCAGTAAAAGTTCCTTTTATCTCATTGTCCAGGGGATTATAAGTAAATATATCAGGGTTATTATGTTGAAACCACTGTATACAGCATTAACCAGTAACAGTCTGCTCTTTTCTTGCAACCCCCTTTGCCTAATGTCCTACACTAAAGGTGCAAGCTTGCCAAGACAACAATGCTTGCTATATATTGGTACAAAGCGAAGTGCAGTGGAGGTCAGTCCCATGATCAAGCTGTCTTGGTGTTGTCAGCTTAACTGCATGCCAACATATTTAAATCCTTCTCTGAAGAACTGGACATTCTTCTTTCTTCAAGACATTTTCTTATTAATAAAACCCCTTAAATACTTAAGGTTGATTACATTTTTTTTACCTTACTACAGAATTGCTACTGTGAAATCTCTCTCCTCAAGGCAGATCAGAAATACTGAAGTCTGAATGATAACATATGATCTATCACTACCAATTCTGTTACACATTAGTTTACAGGTTTTGCAAGAATTTTTATCCATATCTACAAAGGAAACATCAAGCTTTCTTTTTCTCACACATACCTGTGTGCGATGGTCCAGAAACCCAGGGTGTTCACCATCATTAGAGAAGCCAAGAAGAAGAAGAATCTCTCCAATTTACCTTCATGCAGCAAGTGTGGAAACCAGTTGCCTGGCAAAGCAGACGTGAAGTAGAATTAGTTTACCTTGCAGAATCAGACATGGTTCATGTGAAAGACATAAAGATAACTTTGTGTAAGACATAATCACAGCAGGTGCCTTGACCCCCCCCCCCCCCCCCCATGTAGCTATTTACACAGGCTTCATTCTCACAGCATCTTTTTTTTTTTTTTTTTTTTTTGAATACTTTGCTCCTGTTTTGCAGACAGGCAATAGAGATCTAGAGAAACTAAAGAACTTTCATCGAATCTGAAGTGTACTGGATAACCTAACTCTGCACAGCTGCTTCTGTAATGAGTGGGCTATTTTCCCTCTATATAATCCTGTGCATATAGCTAAATGAATGCCAAATATGAAAATTTTAGGAAGAGCTAAAGTGGTCTGTAGAAATCCTTATTCACATCCTTCATGCTTTTCACAGGCCCTTCTAAAGGGTGTGCGTGGAAGGAAACAAACCCAAAAACAAAACTAAAAAGAATGCATAAAGGGCATTTGTTCAGTGCCTTGGATGGTGCTCCATTATCAAGATTCTACCTGACATTTTACTTTACCTTTTTTTACAGCTGCCTTTAGCTGTAAGTCTGCAACATGTCCTTGTCCAGCACAGAGCATTTAATTGCACAAACCAAACTTTTTTCTACCAAGGCTTATGGCAATAGTGTCTGGGACATTTTGGCAGCTTAAACTCCATTCAGCAGAGGACAGTACCACCTACATACACCCAGTCTTCCCTGCTTCTGTTCTCACAGGCTTTAGTTTGTAAATGTACTGCTTTCAATGTTGTCCATTGCAACCAGTCTGAAAACAAGCTCAGCTGGTGAAATAACTGTGGAAATGAAGATGGTTGAAGAGAACGCCAGCCCAGCCAGTCTGCCTTTGAAGAAAATCAGTACCTGAAGTACCATAATCAACTACAGCAAAAACATAAAACCAAGGTGAAAAAGAAGTTACAGTAGGTACAGAAATTGAGAGAGCTTTACAGTGCTGTAACATCCTTTTACGTTATTGGGGAATACAGAATAATTATTGCTTTGAAGAAGAAAGAGACTGTCTTCATTAGCAAGTAGTGAAGTGTAGTAGGAGCAAATACAGAGCATGAAACAGCTGGTGCTGAGAACGTGATGTGCACACTATACACAGCTCAGGTAGGGGGTCACATCAGATCAGTTCCCACTAACAGCTGGAACACATCAGGCACAAGCATTTTTTTGGTTTAGTTCCATCCTAAAGAATGAAGTTTTTTGTTCTCCAAGATCATTCTGTGATGCAAATCAGAGATCAGGAGGTTCAGGTCAAAAAGCACACTCTTGACCTGAACTAAAACACCAGCATCAATGTAGCCTCTCTTTGCTCCTTAGAAGCCTGGTATCAAATCCTACCCATCTGAACAGAGTGGTTATTCACCTCTTGAACAACCTAAAAGGGAGAGGAAGAAAAACAGCCTTCTTTGCCATTGTTGTGCTTTACAAACTTGATAGCTTTAACTGATCTTTTGGCCACTAATGCCATCTTTAGCTACCCAATGCTATTCTTAGTTTGTTCAAATTTTCTATTTGGAGAGAGAGAGCTGCTTCATAGCCCAGGAGAGCCACCAGCCACAGGATTACACACATACCCCTCCCCCCCATATATTTACATTTTTCTCTTTCCTCCACATCTTCTTAGAGATGTAAACACATTTCTTTCCAAAGCAGTTAACTTTAACAGTCCCCAGATTAACAGAGGACAACTGCCATCATCATAGCAGTTTTCCCTAACTCCTCCACAGTTTGCTCCGTGCCAGGTTACCTTTCTGCCTGTCACAGAGCGGCACCACCTCACCTCTGCATGTATGATTCCTTTTGCAGCATTATCTCAGAGCGAATTCTAAACTGTATCATTTAACATTGTCAGTTGACTGAGCTCCTAGGTGCTATAACTTCATTTTAGTAGCTTATAAACTTTTACTGTCATAATTCACAATCAGGCAGTTTTTCATTTCACATCCCCCAGTGGCCAATAGAAGTCACGGGGAGAGTGTGCGTATCTGATGAAAGAGAAAGCATGCAACGGAGTTCAGATCTACAGCTTGTCAAAGCAGAGTTCACACTGTCTGCTAGGTTATTCACGTATGCTAGGCTAGCTATATGAGCAGCAGGAACTTCCTAATGGAACAGCATTTACAATGGAACCTGAACAAAAATTATGTACTGAAAAACAGTGCTGAGAAATATTAAAAAGAAAAAAAAAGGAAAAAAAGAAGAAAAATTATCACGTTCTAAGAGAGCAGAGTAAACTGGACCTTTGAAACTGTCTTAGTGCTGTCAAAGCACCGTATTGAAGTGCTGGAAGTCGGAATGTTTGGTTTTAGCAAGGTAGGAGGGCTGCCTGGAGAGCAGATCAGGGTTTAGCCCGCACTTCACCACTAGTCTCCTCCTTGGCTTGCGTCAAAGACCACTGCTCAGTCTCCTCAATTCTTCTTTTAGTAATTGCCAGTATTTAAACAGCAAGGCCAAGATAATGACACAAAACCTTTGGAAAGTCATGTATTATAAATGAGCAGTAGCATAGGCAGGGCCAAAATTAGACTGGGCATGGTAAGACTCCAACTCCTGTAGTGTGTGTGCTCTCTTTCTAGTTTACTGGTCTATCCAAAGCAAGAGGTAGGAGCCTGTCTTTCTCTTCCTTTCAGTAAGGGGCAAGAGTGTTTGTCAGGGGTGCCTTTCTCTACAGAGAGACAAGGGTGGGGGCAGTCCTAGAGATATCCAGACTATAATCCTACTGCCAATATGCATTTTCATCAGTGGATACAGCAAAGATTAATGTAACCATTTCCTATTTTCAGCCAAAAATATTTATTTCTCATTTTTGTTTTTCCTCTTCTTTTTAAATGGAATTTGGTTTTCCATGAGAGGGGATAAACCTGGACTACATTTACTTCTGCTTACGCTCACCGCACCGAGAATCCTCTGCTGGCAGGAAGCCTTGGGAGCGCAGTCATGGCTGTTGAAACATCAATCATGTGTTTCAGGCAGCAAAACTTGCTTTAGGTGCTTTCACCCTTTACCTGACTAACACCTTCCACAAGCTGCCTGCACACTCCAGCACTCTCCACTGACTGTGTTTGGGGTTCATATTTTTAGGATTTTACCCTTAGCCATTAATGTCAGGAACTTACTGGTAATGAGTGTGTTTTTGCTGGAGTACTACTCTGTTTGAAGTGGCCAGCACTTTCTCATCCTTGAATCAGCGCACAATATGCTAACAATTCATCTTCCCCCAAAAGACACTGCCTTTGGGTTCTGTCAATCCTTTACTTTTCTATGGAGATTGCCAACAGAAGTGCCAATTACAAGGTTGGTTTGTCACATAGATAATTGCTCACTGGGAATTAACTTTCTACAACAAGCTCCTGATTTCCATTTTTATTCCAACAATGGAAATACTTTGTAGCATGAATCACTGCAGAGAATCATAAGTTTCCTTTAGCTGTGCATATTTTAAAGAGCCTTTTCTTATTGGTTAGAGGTGAATCCGTTATGCATTTTGTGGCAAATTTAGAACAAATTAGAAGATTACGTCTAGGCAGTCAATTCCTCAAGACTGCTATACTGTATGTTGTTGAAATAAAGCACCTGGAAAACTTTCACTAACATTTTCCAATCCTATCGGTTTTGCTTCAAAAAACCTCAGGTAGTATAAGAAGAGGGAATATTATACAACACCAAGAGAACACACCTGATCCTACCAACACAAGCAAAAAAGCAGGCAAAGCATGAATTAGGACACAGACAAATACCCACTTTCCTGGGCTGCTTCTTGTGGATGATGACAGTGGCAAACTGCTGGCAATATTAGCCATCACGGAAGAAGTGGAAAAGGCCGTAAGCCAGTCTCTGAGAAATACTAGTGTACAAAAGTGATGTGGTTTAGCAGTGGACTTCGCAGATGTGGAGTAATGGTTGGACTTGATGATCTTAAAGGTCTTTTCTAACTTAATTGCTTCTATGATTCTAAGGTGTCTGCTACTATTGATGGCTCCCTTGGAGCTCTCAAGGGATTCACAAAAAAGCCCAAAGTTGCACAGGAAGGCAATTTGTTTACTGAACACCTCCACTGTATTTTAGTATTGGGAAAACAGAAGACAAAGCAAACCAGTCACATGCCAGAAATTAGATTCCAATATTTTTAGAGGTATTCTGCAACCCAGACTATGATTATAGAAAAATTTAATTCATAACTTCTGAATGGACTGCATTGCCTTCCATAAGTTCATCAAGTTAGTGCTCATATATTTAGTGCTTAATCATAGCGAAATTAAAGCCTCAGTCTGCCTCTAATCCTTATTAGCTAAATAGGCACCAGTGGACACCACCATCTGGACTGCAAGAAATATCCTCTAGCTTTATCATATTTGGTATTTAGAATCACACAAGGCTCCAAACTAGAGGGAAAAAAAATTAAAATGAAAAAGGCAAAACCAAAAGAAAACCCACAAAACCAACCCCAGTTCTCTGAATACAAGCAGGTAAAGTTGTGTCTGGGGCACTTTCCTTCCTCTGACCTTTTCTTTTGCCCTTGTCTTTCTTACATATTTACATTAATATTTTTAGAGAAATGTATTCTCAAATGATTGGCATAGGAGGACAGGTTTTGTCTTGCATCTTCTTCCATTAAAATGTTAGGAGAAGTAAAAGATCCAAAAGAAAGCAGTTTCCCAGCTTGTACTGAAAATATCACTGTCACCCGTCATCTGTTTGCACTCGTCAGATTTTTTTAAAAAAGTCTTATTTTATCATATTCACACCATCCTCCATAGATGTGTTAAAAATGATTAATGCAGCTTTGACTGTGACTGATATCTGATCAACTTTGCCAATAAAAACCCAAATAAAATTCTAAACTGGTGACATGAAATAGGATATTAAAATGTTTAAATTTTGTCAACACCCTCTGTGCCTCAGCACTTCAAAATACACACTGGAGGATCGACTTCACTGTATCCTGAATTGTTTCATGGAAAAACGTGGTCTCATTGCTTAGAGATGGGAGAACCAGAAATAGTCTTGGCTCAGGTTTTAGTGAAATGAGAACCATGGGACAAGTCAAAAGCACCCATAGCCTAAGAGCTGCACACTGAGCCTTGTTAAACCTTACAAAACCTTACATAAACACAATCATTATCTTTCAGCAAAAGAGAAAGAACTTTTTTTTTTTTTCAATATAAATATATTAGTTCAGCTTTTTTTGGAGGAGAGAGGAGGGGAAGAAATAATTCTATAAATTGTCCAGGTACCGAGTGCCTTACAAGCTCTTTAAACAGAGTTGGGAAAAAAAAAAAAAAAAAAAATCAAATGTAATGAGAGCTTAATTTGTGTCATTTGACTTTAATTTGACCAAATTCTAAGGCAGCTCACAATTTTATTTGCTGAAGCACTGTCATCTTTAGAATGTTCAATAGGTGACCATTAGGTTTTATAAATTAACAAATAGTTATTTTGCTGATCTTAAGCTTTGCATCACAAGCATCAAAGAACACTGTTATGAAGCACAATGGAAGAGTCTGGAAAAGTACAGATGGAAGAAAATAATTTTGGATATAACATTTCCTGTCAAACTAGGAGAAAACCAAAACCAAGCCTAAATGCCCCTTTGGGTTTTGTTATAGTCTATAACCAGCTCCAGAAGTCTGATCCCATGCTTACTTCGATTTACAAGTCAGAGAGACAAAAGTCTAGCTGGGATGAGTAGAGTACTACTTCAAATCTTCAGTCAGAAGTGTTGTAACACAACAGAATGCCAGGTTGGATGGGGATTTGAGAAACCTGGTATAGTGGAGAGTGTCCCTGCCTACGACAGGGGGGTTGGAACTAGATGATATTTAAGGTCCCTTCCAACCCAAACCATTCTTTGATTCTAAGAAACAGGAATATCTCCATTATTTACAAGCTGTGAATTCCATGAGTTGTGGTCACTTGGAATAATTAATCCCATCCACGCAGGGAACAGTGGGAAGGAGATACCCAGTGAGATTCCACTTATTTTTAGAAATAAAATGTGAGAGCCCAATAATATGTTGTTTACATACTAATAGGGAAAATAATCTCTAATGCTTCTAACTAGAGCAACAGAGCAAATATTGAACATTTTTCACTGTATTTTCTCTAAAGTTTTTCAAGGTTTGTAGAAAACTTCTCCTATTTAGGGGCTTATTTGGTTCAATTACAGCACCTTAACCTGACTACACACTGCCACTGAATCCCTTGGAAATTTCAGAGTGACTTTTGCTCAGGACAATGGCACGGCCAATTCCATCTATAGGAAGAGCAGGCCTGACAAATGAAGCCTTAAGTTATACTTTTTTTTTCTAAAGCTAAGTAGAGCAGTTTGGCACTCGATTTCATAAAAGGGATAATATTATAGCCAGAAAAAAAATTCAGTTTGCTCAAAAATCTTAAGCAAAAGAGGTTAGAACATGACAACTGCAGTCTGTGGAGAACATGGAGAGTTCAGTCTTTTTGGTCCCAGCCAGGATAAAAATGTGAAGCTTCTGATAAAACAGTATTTCTGGCAAGAAATAAACATTTTCTTTTTGAATCAATTAAATGTTTTCATACAGACTTACAGAAAAAGAATAAATCAGCTTAATTTAAAATTAGACAAAACCCTACCAAATTACAAACCAAATGCAAAAATTTATTCCCTCTATTGCTTTGTACAAAAATAATCTTAAAGGAATAAATTACACATATAGTAACACAACATCGGCAAAATGTTTTGATGCTGACATTATGGTTAAGTATTTTATAAAAATGCAATTATACCCAAAGTTAAATTGCAGTAAAATATGTCAATTTCAACTTTACCAAAATTAATAATTTCCATACTTTTGAGGAAAGCGGAATCAAAAAAGTCAGCAATGCCGTCTTTCTTGAAGTGTTAGTTTCATTGAACCCCTATTATCCAGTGGAAAAAATAACATCTATTTTACTGCGGGACATTCAAGAAGGTCTGCTCTCCACACTGGATGCCTTGGTATTTAAAAGTTCTTTGTTAGATTCATCTGGGTAAGAATTCCTGGTTTTTACCCATCTCTAGGTGATGCTTTTATACCTCATAATAAAACTGTCTGTGAATTGTCAACTTAAAACCAGCAATGCATGTCAAAGAACCATTCATTTGTTCAGATGTTGCAAGTAGGGACCAAAATTTCTTGTCATGCTTTCAAAAAAAATTCACTTCCCCTTATTTTTTAAATTACATGATTCTTTATGTAGGAAAAAGAAGAACCCAAAACTTAACCATGAGCAGTAACAAAATTCTGCAACCGTGGTAACTGTAATGATGCCATGCATTAGGGACAGCAGTTGTGCTCCATAAAAGAGCAGCTCTCTGTAGCACAACGAAGCTTATCAATGGAAAGCATTTTTAGAAGTACTTCTTCAGCAAGAGGAACTATTGCTGAATATGTGAACAATGGGATCCCTGTCCTTCAGTTCAAGAACCTCAGTGCCTTACTTTTTAAATTTACTTATGAAACAAGTCTTTTTTTGTACTGAACAAAGATTCATCAGCAAAAGAAAAAAGACTTTAAGAAACTCTTGGCCTATCTTGAAGTCAGCAACCCAGAAAAAATCTCCAGTTCAGGGTTTAACCTAAATATTCCTCAAAAGGCTGAATGTGAAATAACGCCCTTTTGAAAATAAAAGTTCTCTAGGAATTGTGGTAGCCATCTGCAAAAGGATAAAACCACAATGAGACTGCATTGTCACAGAATCTGGTTCTTCCAGTAGCTGGGCAAAGGGAGAGGTGCAAAGAAAGCACAAGAGAAGTAGCAGCTCTAGGAGAACAAATTCCATAGACAGCTCTGAAACACTCAACCCAACCTCCTTTCCCCTATGACACTGTGGAACGAAAAGAAAGGCATGTCCTCCACTCTTTGAAGCACTAATCTTGCTCTCATGGCCAGAGGCTTTCACGGAAGCATGGCTAACATGAACGTACTTCTTCATGAACATAAAAAAAGTGCTTCCTAGACAATTTATTTTCTTGCCTTCCAGAACAGAAGTATAGAGATTGGAGGTGAAGGCTTCCTGCAAGATGCCATCCTCTAATTACTCCAACTATCAGAACTAAGATGACTCATTAAAATTGGATGAGTACAGCTGGAAGGCTATTTCCTATCTTAATTCCATCTTAATTGTGAGAGCAAATCAATAAAACTTTGGCACCCCCTTTAATTCTGCTGCCTAATTCTCCAAATCAATAATATTAAGAAAACTGCTCAGAAACACCAGTCATGGGCATATTCTTACCTTGAGAGCCTGCGTGGGCTGTCTGAACAAAGAAAGCTCCCATAAAGCAGCCAGCTCCATTAAAGAGAGTTAAAAAATGCATGGAAATCCCTCTCATTCTTTCTGGCACAAGCCAGAATGAAAGTAAAGAACCTTAGAAAAGAAGCAGATACAGAAATAGGTTAAAAAAAAACAACAAAACCCCAACAAACAGTAGTAAATTATGGTAAAAGATAAAGACAAAAAATCCAAAGTGCCAAAGAACTTTCCATATTTTACAGAGAATGTACTTGCTGCAGAAGGGCAGATATGTTAGTATGTACCCTATTAACAAAGGGTTACCTAAACTGCTTAAATTGATCTCCATAATAAACCACCTCACATACAACTATCAATATTCCACAAGTATGTAAGGATCTTTCACCCAGATGATTACTTTCACCTTGTAAAACCTTAGGCACAGCAAGACAAGAGAAACACCACCACAGTCATCAAGCGTGAAGACAGCAGATGTGATTCCTAACTGCAGGACAGCAGGACCTCTTATGCCAGAGCCAATGCAGCATGACCACTAGTAAATGCTTCCCAAATCTAGGGTTCTACCTTAACTTGGACAGCTGCCTGGCTTTAACTTAAAGCTGAACAATGCTGCTCTTCCCCAGAGAGCAACCCACAGAGTTACTGGCAATTTTTTTAAGGTATTGTTCTTCACTTTCTTGCCAGAAGACTAAGCCAGAAGCAGTAACAGCTTTGGTGGCAAGAGGAAGCTGTAGCATTCTGTTGTAGCATGGATGACTATAAATAATCCCACCAGCTGTAATTTGGCTAAACTAGGTTACAGTAAGTCTTTATGATAATTGGAAAAGTTACTCGGAAAGAACAGCTATCAAAACCTCATGTTTCCTAATTTCACACATTCAGCTCTGACCCACACTTGTTCTCTAACCCCCAGTGTCTCCCAGCCTGCTTTATTTGTTGAGTTTGAATGACCTCCAGCTTGAGAAACTTGTCAGCAGAGGATCCTATTTGGATGCTGAGTTGCCTGAAGCACCTCTAAATACAAATCAAACTTTGCAATCATTATCTTCCATCCTTTTTTAATTTGGATGCCCAAATGAGAGCTTTGGAAACATATTAAAGAAAAAAAATATACCATGGGCAGTGGTTTTTGTTTATTCACAATAGGAACCAAAAGCCCAACGGCAAGGGAAAGCAGGTGAGCCTGGGACACCATCTGTAGGTACAACAGTACAGTCTGAAACATGGTACGGTCAGTATCCTAGCTAATTTGAATCACTAAGAGCCTAAAAAGTTTTCAGTTATTCCTCCCTTCTAAAAGCAGGGGTGCAAAACATACATCCTGGTCAAATTCAGCCTGGGTAATTGCATCCTACTTACCTAAATTACCCCTGCTGTTCCAATTGCGTACTCCATTCCTCGCTTCTCTCACAGTGCTGCTGTGAACTATTAAACAGCTGCTCCATTTCACTCTAGAGACTATTGCATTTCAATCGGTGGGTGAAGTGATCCCCAATATATCCTTTAATTAACAGACCCGATTGTTATGAGACTTCCCATTTCAAAGTGTTTTGAGACTTTGAGAAGGACTTGGGGGTGTTGGTTGATGAGAAAATGAACATGAGTCGGCTTCAGTGTGCGCTCACAGCCCAGAAAGCCAACCGTATCCTGGGCTGCATCAAAAGGAGCGTGACCAGCAGGTCGAAGGAGGTGATCCTGCCCCTCTGCTCTGCTCTTGTGAGACCTCACCTGGAGTATTGTGTGCAGTTCTGGTGTCCTCAACATAAAAAGGACATGGAACTGTTGGAACAAGTCCAGAGGAGAGCCACGAGGATGATCAGGGGACTGGAGCACCTCCAGGAAGTTGGGGCTGTTCAGCCTAGAGAAGGGAAGGCTGCTTGGAGACCTCATAGCAGCCTTCCAGTATCTGAAGGGGGCCTATAGGGATGCTGGAGAGGGACTCTTCATTAGGGACTGTAGTGACAGGACAAGGGGTAACGGGTTAAAACTTAAACAGGGGAAGTTTAGATTGGATATAAGGAGGAAATTCTTTCCTGTTAGGGTGGTGAGGTACTGGAATGGGTTGCCCAGTGAGGCTGTGAATGCTCCATCCCTGGCAGTGCTCAAGACCAGGTTGGATGAGGCCTTGGGTGATATGATTTACTGTAAGGTGTCCCTGCCCACAGCAGGGGGGTTGGAACTTGATGATATTAAGGTCCTTTCCAACCCTAACTATTCTATGATTTTATGATTCTATGACTTGTTGATGGGCAGATAGTATTCTTGCAGCACTTGATCAAATACTGCGAATCTGTCAATCCTTTGTAGGGCAAAGCAGTTCCAGTGCACTGGATAGCTTGGACACTTGGCAGTGTAATAGCTGCTGTGGCCAGCAGGCTGGCTTCCCTTCAACAACAGTCTCAGGCACTGTGGGGGCAAACGTCTGCTAATGTTATCTCACAGGATGGAGGTGGTGGTGGTGGTGGTATTTTATTTTGTGTGTGTGTGTGTTGGTATTTTTCCCAGAGCTTTTGGTTTTGCTTTTTAAATCATTGGGCTTTAAGAGTAATTTCCTAGTTTAAACCAAGCAAGGGTTACAAATTTAAGTTGTCAGAGGCCTGTAATGTCTAACATTCTAACACTGTGGAGGATAGCAATTATCATTGTTTTTATCTTATTTTCTAAAGACTACCTCAGTGCTAGGGAAACATTAAATGCTGATATTATTCTCAGGGATGCTCCTGCCACCTGAAGAAGATGACTATATAAAACTCCTATCAACAAGATAATATATTGTATAAACACAATTTTAAGTATCAGAGCTCAAATGAAGATGAAGAGTTCAATATGCCAAATCTAGCTCCTCTAATCAAGCATTTTGAAATGAGGTATCTCCTCCCTTCCCTCTGATTACAAGTGTGAACATTTCTGTCTTCAACTTGGATCATATACTTTCAGGTCAAGTAAATTATTATGATAATTGAATTTGACCTTCTGCATAACAAAGGCAGTAAAATGCCAGGAAAGGTGAAACAACTATTTAAATGTCTAGGCTGTCATTACCATCCATGGAGATCTACCGAATGGCTCCTGAACAGCAGTACACTGAAGTTCTGCTCCTGAACAGCAGAAACTGAAGTACAAACCTAGGGCTCATTCCAGCAGTCTGAGTACAGATGCCTAGTGATGCCAAAAATGCTGTAGTGCACTAGCCATCCGCATTGGGCTGTCTGATAAGGTGCAAGACCTATGGGAAAACCATGCTCTTCTCCAGCAGCAACTGGAGGCCACAGGCACCTTAAAGAGCTTGCTTGCCTTACATGCATAGCCTAGATACTCCATGACAAATCATGCCAGACACCTACGTATGGGCAAGTAAACGGAGGCCTGCATCCTTATCAGCTACAGCAGTAACCTACTACTTTAGGTACCTACCTTCAGTTTTCTGTATGCAAGCGCCAAAATCAGATTTAGTCCCATTCATCTGGATTCTTGAATCGTACTTCTAACTGCAGCTCTCAGCAAGATGCTTAATCATTATTGAAATGAGAGCTTTTCTTCCTAAGAAATTTTAATCATAATCCTTTAAAAAGATTGAAACCCCCAAAACAAAAAACCAAACCAAAAAGACAAACAAAACCCCCAAACAATGAAACCCAAGCAAAACAAAACCACCCCCCCCCCCCAAGATGAAGCTGTATTTCTTCTCTAAAGGCTAATGCCATCTTCCAGTCATTGGACTTCTGTTGTGTCCCAGTGTGCTAGATTTAAAAAGCCTTATTCTACCAGCAATATTATTCCCATGTTTCTGCATGGGAAGACTGTAAGCAGGCCACCTCTTAACCTTTTTTTTTTGTAAGCTAAACAGAGAAGGTCACAGTTTTCAGTTACACTTAGCCTGTAACTTAGAAACCAAATTACCTGCCTAGAAACCTGTCTCCGTTAAGTACTTGAGAGCTATCGGATGAAGAGGCATTATGAAAGTGCTAAGTATTTAAAAATAGGGGAAATTACCTTTTTAGTGACAGACCATGACCCACAGCTCTCACTAGTCTTAGAGTGTAAGAATGAAGCCAAGACACTGAAGTTATTTTCTGCTCTTAAATACAAATCTGAACATTTCTTGGGTTCTATGGGAACAATAGACACTCAACTTGCAGAATTAATTGCCTGCAGAGATCAGCTCATCAATTACTTTACCTGTGTCTCTTTAAGTGAATGTTGATTAGATTATTTTTGTAATACTAACTTTTTTTTTTTCAAGCTCTGCAAGCTAAAACACTGGTAAGCACTCTGAGTGCTCCTCAGAACAAAATAAGCCTCAGGAATGTCAGTATGGATGTGGAAAGGTAAACTATGGAAAGAAGAGAAGGTTCAGACTCACAATCAAAAGTGTAGCTACATAATTTATGGATAGCAGGCATGAGCTAAGCTCTGCCTGTTCTCTGCAAAACAGGAGTGTTTATCTCTGGCTCCATGCCACAAGCTGAGGCATGATGCTCTGTGCAGGCATGTTCACATGACTCCCAATTAGAGCCCAAACAAGAATCTTGCATCTGCCTACAATATTCTGCAGGTTAGCTTGTCAGTTGAATTGTGTTACCCACCTGCATATGCTCTGTGTCAGTCAAAAACATGTAATAATTCTACTAGCTGGGTCCACAAATGGAAAGAGTTAGGTTAAATTGCTTCACCTTGCTTTGACTGTGGCCTAGGAAGTGTTCATAGACCATAACCACAGCTCAGTTCTCGTGTGTATTTGTTCTGCCTCCAAAAAAAATCACCACAGAAGACTTTAGGTCAGAAGGGACCTCAGGAGCTCATCTGGTCCAGCCCCCACATGGAGCTGGTTCAGCTTCAAGACCTGTCATGCCTCTGAGCCCAGAGTCCCACCACTCCTATCATCCCCCTGCCAAACAGTAGATTATGCACCCCAGGGATCTGAGTGGGCTGTGTTACCTTCCAGTTAAGCTGAAACAATGGCACTGCTCACTCAAAATTACAGCAAGAAAAATTATGCCACTCTGAAGCAGGTAAAGCACAGATCTACTCATTAAGCCCATGGAAGAGAGCCAGGGATAAAATATCAGATGCCACTAATTATTTTTAGGAAGATGACATAATTCTCTTCAAATCAGAATATTCTTGCTTTAACCTATTAGATTTTACTTACAGGAGGGAGTTACCAAGGCTTCAGCAACTCCAAGGAGGATGTACTGAGGCGCCAAGTGGAAGCAAGGCATGGAGGAGACCAGAAGAACCTCCTCAGAAAGTGTTTGCTCCACCTGAGGGAAATGCTTTCGGTGTATTTCAGAGAAGCCAGCAACCATCACGGAAAGTACAGCAGAAAACTGACCTACAACTGGGTAAAGAGCACAGAAGCGTTCGCCAAGGCTGTAGGTACAGGATCATCATGTATTTAGAGTAAAGCAAAGCATGCAAAAGAACCCTCCCCTTGCTACGCCATCCCACACATCCTCTCTGGTCACATAAACATGGATAAAGTGTACTTGTTACACTGCAAGCCAAACTCTAAATACACGGCAAAGGAGCACAAGGTCAGCACAGAAAGCGTTTACGGATGCAGAATATATGAGAGGAAAAACTTTTCCCCCCTGTAGCCTCATAATGCAAGAGTAAAACTTCCAATAAACTCAGACGTATTTTAAATACACTCACTTCACCATGCATTGCATAGGGGATACTATTTAAATGTATTATTTTATATTCCTGATGTTGACAGAATGAAATGGCTGTAGTCTCTTAGAAAAACACCTATGAAGCAAAGTTTTCAAGTCTTCTGAACTTGAAGCATTTATACTTCTGACATTTTGAGCTCCCACTGGTTTTGACTAAGTTTGCAATTCCTCAGTATTACTAAACTGCAATGTAAATCCAGGTCTGAGAATCTGGTTTCTTGTGACAGCTTTGGCTCAAATACCCGGGCTGTGTTTTTTCACTTGTCTTACAAAGCCTCTCACTTACAAAGCCTCTCACTTCATGACCAGAAGTTTCTATGCTTATTAGAATTGATTTACACAGTCAAAGGCTTTTGTTTCATATTATTTTTATAACACATATTATCTCTGTGGGTGTCAGGACAGAAAAGGCAGAAAACCCACATAGATAAGTGGCCTTAACTTTCTTATGTTTTTGCATGTACCAGTGTTTATTCTCTCAGCAGCAAACTCTCATACCCTTCTATCAGCACAGTCTTCCTGCATTTTCACAACTTTAAATACGCTCCTCCCTGCCTAACCAGAGGCTTAGAAGCTAAGGGCCCTTTAGTGCTTAATAAGAACACCAGTGAATTATTGCTTGAAAATTGATGACAGGAGGGAATTCAACAGCACTTTCTAGCCAATGCACCTTATGAAGGCCAGGTATAAAGCCCTCAAGGAGCTTCTTGTAATATACCAAAGCAAGAGTTCTCCCTGTGAAAAATTATGTTAGTACTAAAGAAACCTCAAGCCGCTCAATATTACTACACAGTGCTATATTTTAAGCCATTTTCCTTACTGAAAACCAAAAGATTTCAGAAAAAGTAACCTCTGAATTCCCAACAATTGTAATCTTTCTTTTAAGATGTTACATGGCAGAGGAAGAAACTGAGAGCCTTGGAGACCTGGTTTCCCTCCTACCTCTTCTCCCTTCAGTCCTCTTTAAAACAAGCAGTTTTGAATGACCATCTGAGGCTTTGCTTTTATAGGAGAACAAGGTTTCTTAGTAACACTTGGGGCTGTTTCTAGGAAAAGGTTGTTTATATTATCTAGAGACTAAGGTTGTTTTGGACCTTTATGATTCCTGATCTCATATCCTGATTAAAACAGGTCAAAAAGCTTTCCTGAAATGAATACTATTCTAACTAGATCATCTTTAGGGAGAAATAATCATCATCAACTCCCAAATCACCTCAAACAAACACTGGGCTGGAGGCTTGCTTTTGTTTACTGTGTGGAGAGCTATTCTCCACATCACTCTTGGATGGAGTAAATACAAGACTAATAAGACATTTCAGTATAATCAAGCATTAAGAATATTAGAGCAAGAACTTCTATAGCCCAGGTACTTCAGCTAGAGCCTCTGGTCTTCAGCTGATGGACAACTATCCAGCAGACACACTCCTTCAGTTCTCTGCTGAATCTTTTATACCGTTGACTAAAGCATAAAATGCATATAAAAAATTACCCAAACAACCACCACCACAAAACCAAACCAAACAACCCACAACAAAAAACACAAACCAAAACACAAAACCTCCACAAACAGCTATGAAACTGGAAAACCTCTAAAACTCTAACTTTATCAAATATTCAATGTTTTTCATAAAGAGGTCCAGATACTCAATATATTTGTGACACAATCTAAATTCACATTAAGATTTGCATGTTCTTTAGATCATATCTATTTTACAAATAAACCAACCATAGAAATAGTAACAGATTACAGTTTTCATGTAGAACCTTATTATACAGCAATCAGATATTTCAGTTCAACATTGCCTGTATGGGTCACCTTTGGAAAACTGTTTTTCTTAACATGTTGAAGATTTCAAAAAAAATATTTAAATTTCTTTTACAAGACTTGTATTAAAAATATAGTCATAGGCTGGCTTAACACCAACAGCTTATTTATACTTCCAATTTTGTTCCTGAAAATAATTGTGAACCTAATTAACTGTTGGCAAAAATACTTGCACTTAGAGGTCTACCATATTTGCAGGTGCAGTCATATACTTGGCTATCTCAAGCCATCGCCTGTACTCACAGGTATTTTTATGCCTCAGGTAATTTATCATCCCTAACAGGAGGCTATTTTAATAAATGAAGCTATTAAGAATTAACCACTGCATATATTCTACTGCTGTTCAACATAACAGGACAGAACATTAATACTAACTTGAAACTTCCATGGTTTTAAGGAAAGTTATTATCTGACTGTGTTTTTTTTCTGTGTTTTAATGCAGATGTTATTTTAAAAACTGGGGTAATTGCAACCTGCTGTGTTATAGGCATCTGGTTTGTATAAAACTTAATAACACTTTTAATTAGGCTAATTTAGTCAGATTAATACCTCTGTGTGTGTCAGTACTCACTGTGCTGCTTGCCATGGGGCTCTGAATTAATAGTAGCACACTGAGAAAATAGTCGCTTATAAATATTTTTGTCTGAGGTTTGTAATGCAGGCTGGAAGATTAAAAAAAATGTAGGAAGCTTAATGAGAGTATCTATGAAACAGAAATTTTTAAGCAAATACAGAATAGAAGCTGCTTTTCTGGTGGTATTAAATGTAGCTGATATTAAAAGAGGGTTTCAGAAGATCCCTCTAGATCCTAGAATGCAAGAGGTTTGGCGGATAATAAATAAATGAATAAGTAAAACACATCAGTGTCAATGGAAGGCAGCTGAACCCCTAATAAAGCCATCATCACCTTTAGGATATGAATTTCTTGGAAATGGGTGCTAATCTGCAAGCCTGAGTATACAACATTTACTGTTGAAAACAGAACTCGGCAGAGAAGAATGTTGTACCTCTTTTGTGAGAAAGAGATAATACTACACATCTGGAGATCCATCTTTACTTGAAGTGAGTGTACAATAAGGTATGTTTCAGTTTATGATTTTAATAAATAAAATTACTAACCACCCAATTATTCCATCCTAGATATTCAAATGAAAATTCTAGTGCTGGAGAGGAAAGTTGTACCTCTCCAAGTAACCTTTCACCTGTGAAATGTTCAGCCTTCTCAATACGAACAACAGTCCAGTGATATATACCCATTTGTTTTACGTAGTTTTCTTCATGTTTTCTTTTGCTCACTAGTTCTAAACACCTCTTGTAGACACAGAATTAGAGTAGATACTTTAATTTCATTTGTGATACAACCACAGAGTCTTGAATAAACTGTATTGGTGACAGTACTGTTTCTCTCTTCTGAGTTGCAGTCCCAACATTGATACAGTTATAACATAAAAACACCAGAAAAACAAAGCCTTTGTTCACAATTTTGGTCAATGAACATTTCTCCAGTATCAGAAAGCAACTAACTGAAGGACTCTTTTATTCCTAAAATAGACTTTAAAAGTAAATTCACTTTCCAAAAGTTAATGGCTAAACTTGGAAGATAACCAAGTAAGAGTAAGTCTCAGGCCTACATGGTTAGTACCATTTTTTTCACCAGCTCCTTAGGATGCATCCTATTTATTTGGGAATGTCTCTCAAAATTTTTTATAGGTCAGAAGAGACTCAGTCTCTGTCCTGCACAAAACCTATGCATTTTTTATTGATATCTAGCAGATTTTTTTTCAGGACCATCTTTTCAGCAATTCCTTTGACACATATTCACCCTTAAGCATCATCCCAAAACAAGTTCATCTTAACATCTATAGTCAGAAATATTTGTATAGGACCATCATCAGTTACTAAAGTTTCTCTTTCAAAAACAGAATACCTATTAAAACTGTATAAACACATGTCTTTTTCACATACCAATGTAAATTGTTGGAGAATGTCCAGTGTCCTTGGAACTAAAGAGATTTGAATTAATGCATTCCAAAATAGGAACAAGAATCAGTAGTGGCACGATGCTTATCACATTCATTGCTGCAACTGGCAAGACAAATCCACTGAAGTGTAAGTTAGAATTCATGGTTTGGAGATAATATCCTGAGGGAATCTGTATTGAAGAATAAAACCCAGTTCCATTAGCATACCAGGTACGTTTCATGGGTAAGATTTTTACTATACTTGGAAACTTCTCCAACTTTTTTCCTTCTGAAGAAGTCACAGTAAACCAAATATCTTCTGGCTAAAAGGAAAGGCCATTCATGGTAAAAGACTTTTAGTGACATTCTTGTTCACTCCCAGAACATATGATTTTGTAGAATATTACTGCCTTATAGCTGTCTGAAAATTAATGTATAGTTAGTAACTGAGCTCATGTAGGTTCCTCAGCAATGGTTATAGTCAACCCTACTCACTGTAAGTCTGTTCAGTGCCAAAGAATTACTCAAATGTTAGCTCTTAATAAAAATACTTTTCACCTACATTCCAGCTCTGAAAGAAGATATAAATTTTAAAAGGGTGAATAAATGGCAACAGAACATGAAAGATCAGAATTGAGCCAAATTTTGTTGGTTCCTTCTGCCTTTCCACTGCCTACTGCAAATCAGAACTGACTTATTAATAAGAATTAAAATATCATCAACATGAATCACAGGCACTGAAAGCTGTTAACTTAATAATATGGAGAAAATACTATTAATCTTTAAAAAGAAGATACTGATCTATCGCCTAGTCTAAGAGTGAGCCTTAAATTTACTGGAAATTCTGCCAAAGAAATAAAAGTAATCTCTTTCAGCAGTGCAAATACTTTTATCTTTTCTAGATATATTGCTGGTTATTACAACCCTGATTAATGGTATCTGGTTCATTTCCATCTAAGTGATTAATGCATATGCCTTGGCCATATATGTGTGCTTGTTGGTTTGGGTTTTGCATTTTTTTTTTTTTGTTTACTTGGGATTTTTGTGCTTTTGGGGAGGATCAGGGAGGAAAGCAGAGAAAGAATGAAGTAGACGGATGGGAATGTAGGCTGATGGCAAGATGGAGTGTCAACAAAACAGTATATGCTACATATTTTTAAGAATTTCCTTAAGCAGCATTTTAAAACAAATAAGTAAAAATAAATTTCTGAGCTAACTCAGAAATTTGTTATTCCGGTTGCCAAAAGGTAACCTCAAACTCCTGGTTAGCCAGCATCATCCAGACAAAAAAAAAAAAGAATAATCTGAAGGATTCTTAAGTGTCATCTTAAGTAGCTTTCTGACACATTTATATTTCTATAACATGTACCCACTCAGAAGTGGCAAGAATCACATAGGTTGTTCCACTAGTAAAGCAACAGTTTAAAATACATTCCTAGATATATAGTAGTAAACATGTCACAGTACATTTCAAGGTTTTAGTTTAGAAGCTGCGTACCTACCTGCATTATACACATTCTATATAGAATTTGGAAAGTAAACAATGGGAAGAGCCTGGCGAGTGACTTTGTGCTTTCCACCTGAGTCTCACTGTACTGACCACCATAGTTTTCCTTGGCATGATCTAGCCAGTTTGTCACGCCTCCACTAAAGTAGCGGTATCGCACGTAGGACATTTTCAGTGCACTAACAATTACCCCAAAAGTTGTCATCAGGGAACTGTCTGCAAATAATCAAACACATTACACATCAGAATGTTTTTACTTGCAGATAAAATCAACAAGACAAAACACTGGGAGGGAAAATACAACCTGATATATTCACTTTTATGTCTTTTTGGGGAGGGGGAAAGCAATAAAAGACTGGATCTGTTCCAAAACATTCTTCTTTGGAAGACGGTTCACAACCCAACTGTACATAAGCAATCTAGCCCAGTATCCACAGAACAAAATGCCTTTTGTTACTAGTTATTTAACGCAGCACAACAGTCTGTTGCTGTGCTTGAGCAGGTAAGTATTGATTTGCTTAGTTTTTTGACCGAATGAGGTTAGTTTTCAATTCAAGACAGTACTGAAGTACTGCATATCTGCTAAAGTGCAACAGCAAGGGAAAGGGTAGTAGTCAAGTGAGAAGGAAAAGTTGCTCAAAAGAGGGCTGATGGGATAAGAGAACTTTCATGGATGCATTTCAAAGCCAGAAATACTATCTCAGGACTTCCGAGTATCATGCTGCAGCAGAGGAGAAATTTCCAATCTAGTATTTGGCATATTAAAACCTGCTCACTGGTTACTGGGTTCAGGAATTGCTAACTTGGTTCTCTGACTCAGAGGAAATAGAAGTAAAATGAGGATAAAACCATTAGCTTCAGGCTTGGGAATGCAGATTCATTTACCTTTGGTAAATTGCCATCCATGCAAATAAGGATTACAGCACTTCTCTGCTTTTCTGAGTGTTGAAGCACTACAACAACTTGCATATCTATAAATAAATGCTTTCCAAAAATCTAAGGTGAACTGAGACTGCAGAGTGAAAATGTCCCCCTACTATCTCTATGGAAATGATTTTCTGGAAATATCCATTGATACCTATTGGAAACACTTCATCTAAGGTATTTATTAGATAACCTAAAATTTAAAACTCTCTGGCTGTTGAGCATTAACCTGTAGACTATTTGCACTATTGAACAGAATCTGAAATAGTATATCAAAGCTTGCAAACACAGAGAGTTGGTACAGTTTTTTTTGTTCTGCATGACTGTACTGGACAGCTGTTATCACTTATTGTAAGTGATGTTTAAGTTTAGGATCTAGATTATTTCAAGGCCAAATCTGATGACCAAAAGAAAACTCTGCAGACTTCCAGAGTTACTTGGCTAAGAAGCAAATCAGAAAACAAGTGGGATTTGGGGTTCTCGTCAAAGCAGAGTTATTTTCAGAACTAAAAAAAAAAAAAGTAGCAGAAAAACCAGCATTAGCTCAGCTCATTGGTAGAACTAGTAATTACATGGTTTGGGTCAGAGAAGTGATAATCTTTTGCTTTGCCGTACACTAGAGGCTGGACATTCACAAGGAAGAAATGAAAAGCAGTAATGTGACAATTCTCCTCTACAAGGGTTTGAACACAGAGTGGAAATCAGGAGATGCACAGAGCACCATATCACAGACAGCACAGCAAAGCAGCAACATGGCTGTGCCCTGGTTTATCAGACCTAGACTCAATGATGGTCATGGCCATCTCTTTCCTTTGGAATGGAAGATGATGAGCAGACTCTTCTTTCCTACTCTCACTGAAAAGAAAACTAAACTAGGCAAAAAAATCCTGACAGTTCCCTGTCTTTCCTAATGGATCAGCTGAGGCCCTCTTTAATGTAATTTCAGTCAACTACTAAGGAAACATTATTTTGTAGGTGGCAAAACAGACAAATAGATTATTTGTCTCATGTTTCCCAGCATGGAATTACAGCAGATTATAAAATCTAGTAAACCTAGTTCTAGTTTTTAGAAGATAAAGCTGCTTGAAGTTTCAGGTCAAAAAGCAACTTGAAAATTGACTGATACATAGGCCTAACAGATATCAAAAGGATTTTGACAATGATGTAGTTAAAACAAGTATCCGATCCTTTCTTTAAAAGGGAGTAAGTAAACCCCACATAGCTCCATATTGGTGAATTCTTCAGGATACAAAATGGATCAGCTAGTAAGAGACAGGTTTACAAGTACATTTGTATCACTGCACTTTGTGTAGATCAACATCATAAACTTTATACTTCCAATATTTTCTTAAAAAAAAAATTTAAAAATCCATCTGTATAGATGTTAAATTGTAACTGTCAGAAAGTGATTTTCCTTTTTCTTTATACTTCAGCCCTTGGCTCTAATGTTCTGCTACTTTGACCTTGATCTAATCATGAATATCTATGCTCCTTAATTACAATAAAAAGCCTACATTGCACCCTAGATGGTAGATATGCATTTTTTTCCCTCATCTCTGGTCACCTGCCAGTCCTCAAAATTATAGCAGTGGAAAGAAATGCAAATGAAGTCCACGCTTGACAGCTAAACATAATTGAATGTATGATCTGAATTATTTGAAGAGTTACTTTAAAATAAAAAAAGGCAGCTTATATAAAAATAATTTAAGGTTACCTATAGATTTGAATTACAGTTTTGAAGAATTTCCAATTTCATAATCACACTGAAAGGTATAAAATATATTGTCTTTTATTTTGACTATGGAGATAAGCTTTTCAGATATTAGTACAGAAATTAGCATTCTGCAAAGACTTGCAAAATACATGATAAATCAACACTCATTGGGAAAAGCACTTGATACAAAAAAAAAATCTTCCAGCTTTGTTGATGGCTAAGGTAGACATGATCTACAAATTTATGTTATTTCACTTAGCAGAATTAAACTAGTTAGATGATAAACTTCAGATTTAGTCCATATGAAATAGTCCAGCTCAGGGACTGATATTAACAAGTCTTTTTACCTACTCATGTTGTAAAACTTGTAGTGAGTCCCAGCGAGCCAGCCAGCCACCATTCTCTCCATAAGAAGCTAGTTAATTTGAAGTTAAGTCTTTGCAGACCTCAGCTGCATATCATCAAGAGGTTTTGGGGACACTGTAGAGGAAATGCATTTCTTCAGCTCTATTTGTTTCGAATAAACCTCTCTAGTAATGTAATCACTATGATATTCCCAGGCACTTGATTTAGGTGTTCATTCCCTCACTGCTAATTTTTTTTTTTTTTGCTAAGGATGTATTTATAATAAAAATACTGAAATAACAAGTTGCATTAAGTTTCTGGCTTCTACTGTAAGAAGAATAGCAAGGTTTGGGTATTTACAGCCTTACTCAAGTCACCTAGGCTGCACTCACATTCCCGTGCTTGGTCAATGCAGACAGGTAGCAGGCAGCAAAGAGTTTTGGAGAGCTCAGCCACTAACTGGTGAGTTCACAAGAATTTCCGTTTTAAAATACATACACTGCACAGGAGCTATTTAGAGCTATTCAGTGTTTCTAGTTATTTTCTAATGTATAAGCAAGCAGATCAAAATAATGGTAAGCATCAGATGTTCTGCAAGATAAAGGCATTATAAACCTACATTGCTACTATTGCTTATTCCTGTTTAGCTGACTAACCACACTACTTGGGCGCCCAGATGCAAGTTCAGCTGAAGCAATGGAACACACCTAAGGGAGAAAACACAGTATGCTTGGCACCTTAGCATAGGTGCAAACTCTGCTTTGGCACTGGGCATAGGTTGAACCAAACATGACAAAATAAAGTCTACCAGCAGTTTGCATACTATTCCTCTTCCTGCATAGGCAAATGCTTTGACATGACAGAAAACATACAAAAGTTTACCAGACTGTTTTCCACTTTTGTGAGCCTATCCAGCTTATCCAAGTCTATCTTCACAGAGCACGGATGTTCTCTTACACACAGACTCTGTAGAGCTTAAACCCAAGTATCTCCAACCAACAGGGCAGTGTTGTGCTAAAACTTGTTTAGATATGCAAGTTGATCTCTAAAGGTATTTCCTAAGATATATTTGCCTCTTACCTGTTTTGGGTTTGTAAATCATTTCACCCCGCACCATGTGAATTGTGATTATAGCCATAAGCATGGACACAAATGGGATAAGAAAACCAAGGTTTCTGGCCACAGACTGCTGGATATAAGAAATGCTGACAAAGACAACTGCTGAATTTAAATTAACCAGCCAATAAAACCTAGTACACACAGACGAGAGAGAAGAGTAGAGAGGATGAGTAATACAAGGCCTTTACAGAAGATTAAAACATTACATTAAAGGCATGGTAAATATAGCAAGCACAGACACTGTGAGTACCATGAACACATTGACACAACAATTAAAATCAAATTTTACTTGCATGTCTCAGCTCCAAGAGGCATATTATTAAGTAACTGTATTCAGGCAGTAAAGCTGAACAAATTATCAGTCTAGTACTGCAAATATTCTTGTAGCTCAGACTAATGAAATACATCAACATTTACCATTTACACATTTAACACCTGCATTTTTTTGCTTCAGATTCAACTGGCTTGCAGACTTAACTTTTGAAACTTTAAGAATTTTAACTTTGAATAAACTTTCACCTTCCAAGTTGGCTTCAAAGATGTCTATTGGGTTTGCATGGTGCAGTTTATGGTAGCGGGGGGACTACAGATTAGCAAAAATGGTTTCATTTAAAAGTGAAATACACATTGATACATATACAGCTTAAAATGTACTGCTGAAGTACTGCTGAATGTACACTGAGAAGCAAAGCTTGTTTTCGTCTGATGTAACTTCTGCCTCACATATGCTATTTGGACTCAAGTATTTATGTCTCCTAATTCATCTAGAATTTCCTTCTCAACAATAAAAGAAAAAACTTTAACACGTTGTAACAGACCAGCTAACCCTCAACAACCCAAGCCCCAAGCTCTCCAGATTGATCCCTCCTTAACTCCAAACGAGTGGGTAGGGCAGGAGCTAAGTATCAGCTACAATTGCCAGCTCCCTGGATCAGCAATCCCAGCTGAGTGTTTTGAGATGAAAATCCTGAGAGGGGGATTGCAAGTCTCTCTTGACACTCAAGAGACTTCCTCAACCACATTTTATTAAATTAAAAGTATTTCTAGGTGGTCTGCCATAATTGCCAAGACAAACTATAGTCATATCATAAGCTATAGTATTGAACTACTGCTATACTCCTTCCACATGTTCTGACATTGCCTATTACAACAAGCTAGTGCCAAGAGAGAAAAACTTTTATGATGACAGAAGTACAGACCTTGGTAATGCTTCTCAGGTCTGTTCAGTTACAAAGATAACACTCTTTCACCCTGCTAAGGGATGGGAGATGACAGGGCTGTGCAGAAGTAGGCATGGGAACATGCTTATGCTGCTTGCTTCACAGGACCCAGGGCAAGCGACAGAAGAAAAAGGATTACTCCATCAGGGCAAAGTCAGTGGTGCCAAGAGCCATGCAGCAGTAGCAATCTTGGAAACAGCAAGGACACGCACAGCAGTGAGCTCTCCTGCTTCACACATTTCTCTGAAGTCACACCAAGACATGTCTGAATTTCCAGACCAATTACTGTTTCCTTTAAGTAACTTACATTTTCAGGAGATAATACTCATCAGAATCATGGACTTTTCCTCTCCACTGAAAGCAGCCTCCAGGCACTTTGGAATTACGCTACTAAGTGACGATGTTATGGTTGAAAGGGTTTTGTACATAGGTGTGTTGACCTCCGTTCAGCTAACGTTTTGAAACAATTCCTAATAGACAATTTTAAAGGTAGAAGTTAAAGTGTCTGTTTTCCAAATTTCTAAAGAAGTGTGGCTGAGCTACCTGAAGCCCTGATGCTCTTCATGACCCTATGATTGTTTCAGTGGAAGAAGGAACTTCCAAAGAAAACCCTTAAGTACAGGAGAGAGCTTTTGTTTTTCACTGCCATAAAACAAAGTACTGAAATGTATGGCTCCTGTCTTCTTACAGAAATGGGGATAGAAACCACCACCATGTTTGAGCAATCCCTATGGACCAAAAAAGAAAGATAAACTAACTGCAATACACCCATAAGAATTTGGGGATTTGGTCATATTGTACTGATGGCAGCAGATCAGGAACCTACAAAACAGATCAGAAACACATGTTGCTAGCTCTCATACACCACTGCTATTTAATATTGCAGTATTTGGATGTGCTTTATGTAAAGTGCCTCAGAGATCCTAGTAGGGCACAGATGAATTAAATAATCAAACTGACTATCATGTCCAACTTTGCAGGGAAAAGCTCCTTCCTGGAAGATCAGCATCCTGAGGCCTCTGCATCATAGAAACAGCTAGGTTGGAAAAGTCCTACAAATGCCAATGTGAGAGGTTCATTTCAAGAATGAAGTCCAGATACAAACCTAAATACTATCGTGACATGCCCATAAATCCCTATTAATTTTATTATAACATTTTATAGAAATGTATTCATTATGATATCTCAAGAAGTAACATCGAGGTGATGACATAAAGCATTGTTTAGTTTGAGTAAAAAATTTTGAATACTGTATAACGCAACACTTGAAATGGACCTGTTGAATGAAACAACCTGAGACCAAGTAAAATATATTAAAAATATTTTAAAACTGATCTTTTGTCACTTTTAGGATTATTTTTGAGACTCGGTAGATTTCCTGTCACTTGAAATATTTGTTTTTATTTTTTAAGCACGCCTAGCTCTCACAATTTAAATTTTGATTTATCCAAACTCAGGCCAGGATATTCCATGTATGGACCAGTATCCAAGCTAAATCACAGCTTTGTAGAAGAGGATAAATTGTTTCAGAATCACTAAAACACGGAGTACACTGCAAAGACAAAGTGGGAATAAAAAGCCCCAAAGGGATAAAACCACATTTTTAAAAGTCCAGGTAAAGTGTGTCCAGGATAACAGTGGAAACTGGAGTTTGTGGAAAGACATTATTTAGAAGGGAAGGGAGAAGAAAGATATTACTGGTCCTTATGTTCTCTGCATTTTGTTGGTTTTCTTTTTATACATCAGATCAATAAGCCAACACTGAAAACTCTCTTTCCTCATCTGGATTGTACTGTTTGCTCCCATTCTCTGCTTTCACAGACAGAATTTACTTTTCCTACTGCAAAAATAGTACCTGTTCATAACCTTAACATTAGAAAAACAATAATCCTTAAGGAAACAATCCAGCAGAATCCAAGTCCCTTCTTCACTTAGCATTGGTATATTCTGTCTATTTAAAAGGTCAGAGACATAGTTCATTTAAGGGGTTAGAAACAGGCCTTAGCTGTGCAAAGCAACCTTCTTCAAGGACTCAATTAGACAACAGGTAATTACAGGGCCTTTTAACCCAATCTTTAATCTTATAATTCTGATGTAAACAGAACTTGTCTAAAAACATAGACTCAAACTCACCAAGAACATTCAACCTCCCCATTTTATATTATTTTAAAACTCAATCCTGTGATAAGCAGCCTATCAAAAAAAAAGTTATTATATTCTGAGATGCTTTAACAAGATTAAGAATGTTAAGAATGAAACCCCCAACAGCCCCTCGTTGGATGCCACTACAAAAATTATTAAAAATTTTTTTTTTAATTGCACATGTGCCTTTCTTGATACTTCCAAAGTTCCAAGAACTGACCCATTGGATTCCCCCAAGGAATATTTTATTCGCATTGTATCTCCTTTGTAATCAACACTGAGAAATGTCACTTTGATTAAACACAATTCTGAATGGCTAAGACCACAGTACAATAAATTCTCCAGAGCTATCTTTCAGAACAACTGATTGCTCTCCAGTCTTAATCTCCCAGAGTCTTATTTAATCAAAATGATGTTGCTAATTAAGGATTAAAACTCAGAATAGAGTAAAAATGAAGGACTTTTTTTTTCCTTCCTCTTTTCTCTTATGGGCAGGTCAAGGAAGCAGAATCTGCTCTAAGGAGCTAAAGAATCTCATCCACCTTTGGTAAAGCTGCTTTATTCACCGAAGTTTGGACTTAATTCAAAACTCTTTGATATTAACTTAATTGGAGGAAAAAGAATAGCCAGGAATGCCATCCCCAAAGGAGGAAAGAACTGATTTACCAAGATCTTCACTGATTCTTCTGCACTGCATTGTTAATATGCAAATGAGCTCAGTTATTATTTTAATAACCATGCATATGCAGGGAAAGGAGAGAAAGGGGGTTAATTTAGGGCTTATTTCACCCTGCCTTCTTTGATACTCACTCCACAATCCGACCAGAAAGTACAAGTGAATGTATACCACACTCTGTATAGTGCTACAGAAGTGGTAAATAAAGGCAAACATATAATAAAAAATTACCTCTCTGAAGTAGAGAAATACTTCATATGAAAAAATGTTAAATTTTAAGAACCATTTGAGAATCAAATTTTCCTCAAAGATTTCTTAAGAAAATTTAAATATTCAAACCAGAACACAAATGTGAAGTGATTTATCTGGTGGCAAAACTTCACAGCAACAGAATTGAAACAATACAGCAGATCCCTATCACTGAGATTAGCAGTTCCAGACTACTAGCAATCCCTGGTTCCAACAAACCAGCAGACAACTACCATTGCCTGTCATTGCTAAAAATTTACTCTGATGTAAATTCTAATATCTCATTGAATTTTGACACAGTTAGGGAGTAACAGCAAAATATCCTAAAGGGATAGCCAGGTTAAAGGTAGAAAATCAAATGTTGTTTTAACAGCAAGTAGGCTGTCAAGTCTTTGAGCATTTGGGAAAATCAGTTCATCCTTATTCTGTCTGAAGATTTCTGTAGGAGGCTAAGCTACATAATGATGTATTGGCCCTAGGAAAACTAAAAAAATTAGGAAAAGTTTTACAGAAGTTCTTGGAAATTCTTCCAAATCTAAATGTTTTGCAGTTCAAACATGAAACACACCATCTATAAAATCTGCCTTGTAAGTCAGAAGTGAATTTCAAGGCATTGCTCTATGATCCCCCAAAGATATGTAGCCAACAATTTACCAACCAGTTGAAAAAAGAAAGAAGTTCCTTTGGTCCACAGTCCTCAAGGCTGTATGCACTTAATGGACAAACTATAGCCCTTATGCCTCCTATTCCCAGACTAGCGATGAGTAGTGCAAAGTAGAATACTATTTTTTGCTCCCTTTTGGTCAGTGTATGAAGAATATGTCTTCTGTCAATATAAACATCTTCAAAGGGGAATGCCACAACAGGTAATAGTGCTGTGCCTGGAATTGGAAAGAAAATTGTCATTTGAAACGGACTGCAATTTTAAAGCAGTTATTTTGAAAAGACAGATGATAAATAAAAAATACATAATAAAGAAATGCAAAGAGGAAGAGTCTTCATTTTGACAATATTCTGGATGTCAATATACACAGTCAGGCAAGACCACTAAGTGCCTCCAAGAAAGCAATCTTCCTCTGAAATGTCTGTATTCAGTATTCAGGTTCTTTGATCAACTGAAGATCTCACCCTGGAAACTTAGCTCCCTTCATTGGCCTTCTCCATTGCCTGCATATTGAGGGCAGTAGTTCTCCACATGCCAGGGGGCACAAGTTAAAACATGTAACTTCACCTGACAGAACACTGATCAAATAAAAAAAACAACAACCCACCAAACAACCCACCCCATGGTGATGTGTAGCCTTTTTTGCATCTTCTTTAAACCCCAGAATTGTAATGGGAATCATAATTTAACAAATAAATTCTCTAAACTTTTGAGGAAAGTTTTCTCTTTTTTTTTTTTTTGCTGCAGCTTCATGGAAAATAGACGATTTTCAGAAACTTTATCTATAGAAGCAGTGCCATGAACTGCATTTACCGCCTCTAGTCTGCAAAGCAACTCTTTCACACTTAATCAGCTAGAAATTCTCCAAGTTGTAATTGGAGACTAATCTCAAAATATATTGATGTGTCAACACCACCAACACTAGGTATGACCAAGACTATGACTGTGCAACTCCCTCCCCCAAAAAATTCTGGTTAAAGCAATACCAAGAGAAATAAAATTCTGTTTGTGTCACCAAACTTCTTCTTTAAGATATGCATTGGAGGGACAAGTGGCAAAAGGAGGTTATGAACCAGAAGCCCATGGGAGAAACAGTGGAACATGATAGCAATCATTTTTCCAGGTTGCTTGCACAATGGTTTGGCAATCAGCTCAAGAACATTACAGGAATTGCTCTGATTCTTTCCTTCCTTTGTTGCATGTCTAAACAACAACATGGCTGGCTATTGCAGAAATCAGACTTGCATATGCTCAACTAGTCTGAGTAAAAAGTATTTCTGTTACCTTGGTTGAAGTTGACAGAATAACCACCAGCTGTGAGATGCACCAATTGCTACAGAGCAGACTTACTACAGAACAGAGCTTTTACGTAAAAGATCTCCAAAATAACACGTAGGAAAGATTCAGACTGTGCTAACAGAAAGCAGACTCTCAATACAGATATAGGGATACACCCTCTCTCCTTCAGACTGTTTGTACTGGTATGTGCTTAAATACATCTTCCCAAGTTGTCCAAACACAACTTCATGTACCTTAACATACAATAAAATCTTACTCCTAACAGCTAGGAAGGACTTTCCAAACTCTCAAGACTATCTCTCTGACTCAAGCCTCATATTTGCACCAACCACTAATAACCTTAGATACTTGGTAAAGGGGACAAATGTTAAGAGTTAAGTGCTTGTGCTCTGAATAGCTAAGCCTCTTTAAAGGAGTCAGGTTTGTGCACTAACTATCCGCAAGATACACATGCAAATGTACCTCAGTCTTATTCAAAGCACTGCCTCACAAAAGTACATAGGCGAAAATACTGCACTGCATTTCATAGAGGAGAAAACAAGTAATTAGTTGTGAGAGCAAATGGCCACAAGGTTGGAGAAAGCTATCAGATTTCAAACACAATGCTCAATAAAGCATTTCTGCAACAGAATTGCTAAAAGATGAAATAGTCCCCAGGGTGTCACCTACCTAGGAAGTGTAGAAACATGCAGATGCACACAAGTTTGATCCTCCCGACAAGGCACTCGGCAAGCCACCCAACCAGGACTGGCGTCAACATGGAGGTGCCTACAAAGCACATATTGACAATAGCTGCCTGGTAGTTGCGATAGCCAAGTTTAACAGTGCAGAAGAGGATCATGTTGCAGACAATGCCAAAGAATGTGAATCTTTCACACAGTTCCACCAGCAGCACACAAATAGCCTCTTGGAGTTTCTTCTGAGGTTGAGACAGGTTTCCAGCACGGTTGCTTCCTCCAGGCAATGGTTGTTGTTCCTTGTCAGCCGTGTGGTTCAAAAGTTGCTTCTCTTGCATATCCCTTCTGTCTGCATCAAGCATTCTTGTCTTTTTTGAGTAAAACTGTGTAGAGCAGCCTAAGTTACAGGTATACTGTTCTCCTCTGCTGTAATTAGCAAGCGGGTAAGACTCTCCCTTTGAATTCCACACTTCACTACTACAATTTCTTAAGACCTCTGTCACTTTTGTGACATTACTTGTAGGATCAAAGAGTATTAAAAAAAGTAAAATATAAGAACTCTGTCAGCATTTCACTGAGTTTAATGACACTCAAAAATTCAATCAGTTTATTTAATTAGTCCATTTGGGGGTAAACAAGATTTTTCCCCAGAGTTACATTACCTATTAAATTATGTGAAACCAATACTGTATGTGCAACTCTATCTGTATGTTAAAGATAAAGGTTTAAATACCCATGAAAGCTAGCATTTTCAGCAAAATTCAAATAACAGATCAAGGGAATAATTTGCTTATAATAGTCTGATACTTTAATTAGGCAACAAGTGAAAAACTACAAGCAAGATAGGGAAGGATTTATTTATTATTATTTTTTTAAGGTTAGCATCTAATCACTATTATATTTCTTATTTTTGTTGAATTTCAGATAAAGTCAATTATAAAAATAAGTAATGTTACTACATTTAAGTTGGAAAAACAAATTTTAAAAGAAAATTAACAAGGAAAAAAAAAAAAGCAATCTAAACCAGAACCATTCCTTTAGCCAGATATTGCACCATAGCTACAACGCATCATAAGGGTCAAGAGCACAGATGATGTGTTCTCTCATATCAACCAGAAGTAATTACAAGCTTGAAACAAAATTAGGAAGAACCCAACTTACAGTGCTTTATAATGCTCCTGCCACCTTATCCACAGAGAAGTTTGCTGATTTCCCTGATCAGGTCCTCCATTTTGTGGAGCTCATTAAGATCACTAACACCTGTTCAAAATACTTCCAACTAAGAATGAGAAGCATTCTGCATTTATTTTTCACAAGTGTAAATGCATACACATGTTACAAGGCAGTGGTAAATCAGATCTGCTTCTTTAAATAGATCTCTCAGTGCTTATGAGAGCATTTTTTGAGGCATAGGCTCTGTTGTTTATTTCCATATAATTACTCAAATTCTACCTCTTTGGATCTATTTAGTAGTGAGAACTCCTACGTCTCAAAACAGATGCACAATGGTGTATAACCAGTATGGATAAAGATAGATTCCAAGATTACATCCCTTCCTCACCCACCCCTGCTGAAGAAAAAAAAGCAACTGTGATTCAAACACAAAGCCTATAGTCTCTGAAATTAAATCTAAGTAGCAACAGATTACTTCCCAAAATAATTCTAAAATAGATATTTTTTATTTTATTCTGAGTTCTTGCTTTAGACTAGCACAGCAAAAAACTAATAGTTTTCAGAGAAGGCCAGTTGGGGATGCAAATGGCTGTGACTTGTAGCATGCCAAGAACTACTCCTGTCTTCTGATCTGCAGCAGCTAAGAAGATTTTCATCTGGATGAACCAACCAGAGAAATCCAAACTACAAATCACTTTTAACTCAATTTAGCTTCTCCATCAAAGCCTAATGAAGCCAATCCCAAATCATAACAGGACAGACAATAGTATTTCAACTAAAAGGCATATAAATCTTCTGTTGTTTGAAGCATCTCTAACTGTTCATGAGGAAAATGATCATTTGTGTTTTTTAAGGAAATACAACTGTATTTTAGCATCAGATAGAAAACATCAGGATACATACGCTCTTGCTCCTCTAGCCATTTCAATGTAAAATAGTCTGGTGCAAAATAGAGTGCAAAGTTTATCTGTTTTCATGGATGCTCTCAAATCAAAGTGAATCATATCATGGCAACAGGTAAAGACACCAGGGTTACTAGCTGGGATGGCTATCTCTTAGACCTCATGTGTTTTCATTTACCCTAATTTTGGGTTACAAGCTAGGGAAAAGGAATAATTGACTTACAAATGCCATAGAAAGTAGGAGGAGGGCTTTTGAATTGCCTTTCCAGATGACTAATATGGGTGTGGTGGTTATGATAGTCACAGATCACAATCAGTATGTGAGTTAACATGCTCAATGCTAAGAGGATATACAACTTCATATGATCCTTATTGATTTGTTTTTAATCACTTTAGCAGCAATTCTAGGTGGTCTATCTAGTTACATGACGCGGTTTTATATGAATTCTAGTTTAATCACCCAGCATTCATTTGCCCTATTCTTAATACACAAGGTAGTAAGATTGCATAATGCCTGAGGAAAAACTTTATTATTTGTACTAACATATGTAGAGCTTTATATATACTGAAGCAGCTACAAACTAGCTGCACTAAATAATGGCTATTTCAAAATCCTGTCCTTCTGGCAGTACCTCTGAGTGCCAGTAAGGACTTTGTGTATTTTTTGAAAACAAATCTTTAAAGGATAGCTTTCAAAATGGGACAGTCAGATATTGAAGAGAGATTCACAAAAATACTTGCTATCACAGGACAGTGTGAGCTCACTAGAGGTCTGGCCATTAACAAATGACTTGCTATTTGGTGCCCTGTCACCCAAGGTAGAAGATTACTTCTACACATGCTGGAACTCTAAATTTGCATTAGGCAAGTCGATTAAATTGGACCATTTGGAACAAAAATTTTCTCCTAATATTCTCTGACAAGTGATAGTGGTCAGGTTTTCTATTATGGTGGTAGTTTATTGAAATTGAAGAGTGTCCAGCACACCAGTTCCTCTGGTTAAAAGCTAGTAGTGGCTCTACACCTCTGGTCATGTTCTGGAAGGGTCAGTCTCTCTAATGTTTTTGTAAATTTAACTCAGTTTTACTCTTTTTACTCTTACTACTCTTTGGAGAATATGTGAGAGGTATTACTCTTCTTCATAGCAGCAGCTGTGGTTCCTGCTAAATAGCTGGGGCAAAAGCATAATTGACATGGACAAGACTGACAATCCAACACAATTTTTACACTGTAAATAAAAAATTTCATGGGTCATATATTTCTAGTTAGCACCAGGACTTCCACTAACTTACATGGGTTGAGAAGTCGGCTCAGTGACCACTGACCTGAGGACTGCAGTTTTAAAGTCAGAAGAAAGGCAGAGCAAAACAGCTCTGGGTGTTTGCCAAACAGGGGCAAACATGCCTGGGGTTTGCTGCATGATGCTGTAAAAGCAGGTCCAGGGGGGTGGGTTGAGCAGGCAGCCACAGTAAAGAAATATAGCTCAAAGCTGGATGACAGAAAAGGAGAAAGCAAGAAAATGCTGCAAAGACAAGTCTGGAAGAATGCTTCTGTCCCTAAATGTCTTGCTGCAGCTCCAGGTGACTAATTAGAAGAGTTACAAGGCTAGGGCCAGAAAAAGGAGATGTGGTAAAAGCACAGGCTAAGACTAGACTTCATGCTTTTCAAAATCACAACTTTAATTTACTTCTCTTATGCATATGAGAAATGTTCAGTTTAACACAAAATAGCAGATACCAAACTAAGTTTGATCCCTGCAGGATGCCCTTCAGCAAGGGCAGCTTACCACTGCTTTCTGCAAGTACTGCTCATGCCTGCATTTATCTAGCACAACGCGTAGCCTGAGGGAAAGGGTCAGACACTGGCATTAGGCATATTCTTCTCTCTTTTTTTTGCCTTCCTTGCAGTTATATCTATTCAGCAGAAAAAATCAACAAATGCAAATTACCAGTCTTTAGAGGCATGAAAAATATGTACTAGAAGCTGTGGTCTTGTACAGGTTGGAGATGACCTGTCACTTGTGCATGTGCTTCACAGGACTTCAAAATAGCTCTAAGGACAGAGTTTAATTGTAGAACAGGTAAAGGTTCATATTAAAAAAAAAAGAAAAGATTTAGCTTCTAGTAAAATTTTTGTCTTTTTCTGTCATTTTTGGGTTTTGGTTTTTTTTTCTTCTTTTCTTCATCTTTAGGTATCACTTCTGACAATGTGTTATTTCCTGAGTCCTATAATGAAACTTCTTCTATTTAAAATTTTACCTCCGACAACATTTTAGTGACTTTTGCACTACCTGTCACTGCAATCTCAGGGGTCTCTGGCTGCTGTGCAGACAGCCTTGAATCAGAGCTGGGACAGAATATGACAGTGCTGCTTTTGGAGTTCACGGCATTTGCAACCTGTATCTGATGCTTCTGCAGAACTTTAGTAAAAGTGCTAATATTTGTCTAACACATACAGAAGAACAAATACATGCAAAACTTAAGTTCTCTGTGAATCATGTAAAAGGTCAATTAAGAAACTGAAATGTAGTCATTGGGAGGTTGAGAAAACTTTTTTTGTAGAATCTATTATATTAGCATATCTACTTAAATAAAATTGTACTACATTCTATAAAGATCTACTAGATGCTACAAAAGTACATTTGAAGACTGAAAAAGAACATTTACAAAATAAACAGTTATTAAAAATACTGATTATATGAGGAATTCTCTGGGAAGTTCTGGGACTGTGTTGCCACGTCATGTTTGAATAATTCTATCCTCTCTTTGGCAAGTATTCTTTCAAAACCTTCCACACTTTAGCTAGATGTAAGTGGGAACCTTACCCCAGTTCTACCTTGCAGCAGGATACATGTAATATCTGTCTTGTTCTATGACAACATTTATCTGTGAAAGTGCAGGACCAGGGTAAGACTTTTAACTTAGGGGAAAAATTGTGTTTTAGGAAGTATATTTGGGTTTTGTTTGTTGTGTATTCATAGTTAAAAATTACGTGAGAAAGCCGTTTTCTTCTTCACTCTACCAAAAGGTAACATACCAAGAAAGGGAATCAAATCCCTCTATCAAAAATGCCCAAGAAGTCCCAGTGGAAAGTGCAGGCAGGACCTCTTCTACAAAAAAACTTTCTTTTCTCTGCTTCTCCTACAGAAAACTGCCTTAGCCATTTCTCTCAGAGTCCTACTTTTTTACCAGTGTAATATTTTTCTCTCTTTCCACTACTTAAACAGGGAGTGTGGCTAAAGCACAGAACTGACCGGAAGCAAAACTTCTACAGCTTTTCTACAGTACCTAAGCAAGTGCAAGTAGAAGTACAAGACATGGATGTACTGGAGTGA